TTAAGATTTCATTTGAATACAATTTATTTTGTTTCTTTTAATCATGTTTAAAATAATGAAAGCAAACAAAAAAAAATTTCTATTAAGTGATACATTAAACAACAATAAACAAATTTAAAGTTTTATTTTCTGATTTTAAAAAAATAAGCTATAACTTTTTATATATGCTTTTTTTATAATTTTAAGATTAATTTGTCTTTTGAAACTATAAAGTTAAAATGTATCTAAAAATGCATATATTTATCTAAATATTTGAAAAAAAGGGGCAAATAACTGATACTCTTTATAATTATACGTAATTTTAATTTCACTTTCTGTTAATCGTATTATAAAAACATGGAAGATCATTAAATATTTATTCCAGTTTAATTTTATTACAGGTAAAAGTCAGATGAAATTTTAGTGTTTACTTACACAACTCTATTTAATAAATGAAAATATTTTCACAGTAAAATTTATGAGCACTAAATGAAAAAACCCAATTTCCCCCGGTTTTTTTCAAATAAAACCCAGGTGGGTTGGGTTTTTTCAAACCCTGAATGTGGGTGAAAAAATTTATAGAAAAAAAACTTAAAATAATGATCTGTCAAAACCAGAGTTTGCAAGGTTTAGGACAAAATAGAATAATCTATGGTTTAAACCGTCCTGTCCAAAACTTCTTTAAAATTATGTCACATTTAAAAAAAAAAAATTGTGGAAAATAAAAGGTTAATTTTTGAACAAGAAACGAAATGAAGACAAGTTCTTGTTTTATTAAAATTTATTTTTAATATTGCATTATTTATCCTTATGCAAAAACATAATTTATCAGCATTAAAAGCATATTTATTCATATTTAAGGCATTCACTTTTGTTGTTCCGTGAATTGTAGAGCTTCAAAAGTTATAAATTGCATCAAATATTAATTAATCTATGTAATTATGTGCACACACAAATAGAAATGGTTACACAAATAGAATTTTTGCCCTTTTCCAATATTCAAGGATATGGACACTTTTAGTCAGTTTAGGACAGCAAGATATGGTTTGTTTCTTTGTGACAAAAAGATATGGTTTGTTTCTTTTTTCTCTTTTTGTGGTAAACACCACAAATAGTTAATTTTTTTATAATGTATATCTTATATGAAAATAGGATCTCTTGTTTGCTCTATTAGATCAAGGTTGCTGAGATTAGGGACCATTTTCCTTATTTCGCTAATTAAATCACCTGTCCCTAAGAATACCAAAGCCCCCCAACTTTAGACAGCTTTTAAACAAAGTAAATAATACTGAAGTTTAACTTCAGATTGAATTTTTTCTTATATCAAAATGATGTTTTTATATTTCTGAACGTCAACATTTTTGAAGTGCTTATAAAAACATTTTTAATTTGATTGAAAACTTTATTCCCACTTTAAAAAAAGATTTAAAATATCTATAAAATGTAATGGAAAGAAACTACTTTTTAAAATCTAGAAAACTCAGTTGTTTGCTTTATTAGATCAAGGTTGGCAAACTTTTGACAATTGATAGTTCACGTCAAGCATTCCATTTTGTTCATAGTTTCTTGACAATTGTTAAAATTTTTATCAAGTATAATTATAAGCTGGGCAACTCCATGGTAAGGCCAGCCAGACAAATTAGACTTCCTATCTTAATCATCAAGAACTGCCTAGAATGTTTCATAAAAATTTCAACCTCCAAATTCAGTAAAGTTTAGACAATTTGCAAAAGAATACTAATTTTTTTTCTATTGTGTGATTTACATCTAACACTATTACCATTAGTTAATTTTTCAAAACAAATTGTTTTGATAATTTTAAACTTAACTTATTTTATGAGAGAGGTAATTTTTGATCATTTTTTATGTCCAACACCATGGTGTTGATCAGCTATTATAATTTTGAAGTATTTATAAGTAAACATACATATAAAATTACTAGTGATCAATCAATCATATTCTAGATTTTAACATTAAACTAGTTTCTTTTCTAGCATAGAAAATATTAATTATAAATAAAAATTTGTAAAATTACAATTTATCAAATCCATTGATTTGTTTGATTATTGAAAATCAAAAATAGTCTTATAAAAAAACGCTAAACAAATATCATATTCATTATATGAAAATTAATTCTCATGTACACGGATTTTAACTCCATCTTTCCTCAAAACACGCAATCGGCAAAACCGCTAAACGGTAGTAAATTCAGCCTGGACAGACCCCTGAAAATTGTATTTTTTCTTCTTCAGGTTTTCACCTTATTTTGTAATATTACTTCGGAAATATAATTTGCTTTTCATTTTTAATATAAAATTACAAAAATTATTATATTTTCATTGCTATATTTAATTATTTAAACGGTATATACATAGATATATATTATTTTTGCTCACCATATTTTTGCTCACCCATTTGTTGTTGGTATTTTTAGTGTATTTCAAAATTTCAACTATGAATTAAATTTACCTGCACATAAATAACCCCAAATTTTATCAAAATACTAATTTTGGCCACAAAAGCATGGATCCTTGCCCACTGTGCACTGGGAACAAAGTTTATTACATCCACTTACATATTCACTTTACATTTTATAAATAAATGAAAATAGTTTTAGTTTAATAGTTTAGAAAAGGTTACATTTAATTTTTTTTTTAACTATTATACAACCATTTTTTCATTTTAAAGCTCTATTCCCTGAATATTCAATAAAATTTGAATTATTTTTTAAATTTATTTCAATCAAATGATGATTCATTATATATGAGCCGCTCAGAAGCCAATGCGGTTAAGTCCATTTTTTGATATTTTCATTTTCTGATTTTTGGAAATTTTGATGAAATAAATAATAATCTTCTTGGTTATTAAAGGATTTACTCATTGATTACTTTTTTCTAGGTTAGACAGCCCCTTTTTTAATAGCTTCTGAATATATTGTATAATAATTTCAGAAGCCATTGTGAATAAGTCCACCTTTTATCAATATGTTTTTACATAAACTTTGAAATAAAAATTAAATTCTTCCTGTTTCGATATTTGCTGGTAACACTGAAAAACAAGAAATTCATAGTAACTCAGGGTTGCCAGACGTAGTATTTTTAATACCATATCTTTAATACGTAGTAATTTTCTCACCAAAAAAAGGGGTATGGTATTTTTCGTAGTATTTTTTTTAAAATGTGGTATTTTTTTAAAATTTTTATTTTATTTTCATTTCCTAAAACAAAGAAAAGTGCGACTCTAGTTTTGAAGTAAAAAACAGTTTTTGAAATAATCCAACAGTTTATTTTCTATTAGTCACTGTATCTAGTGATGAAAAATAAAAGTTCGTTTATACTAGTAGACATAAATTTCTTATCTTTTTCAGCTGCCAAAAGGTATAAGTCCTAAACTTTTTAAGATGCTGTCATGATTTCAATAAATACTTACGTTTTTATTTACACATCCTGTACANTAACCCCAAATTTTATCAAAATACTAATTTTGGCCACAAAAGCATGGATCCTTGCCCATTGTGCACTGGGAACAAAGTTTATTACATCCACTTACATATTCACTTTACATTTTATAAATAAATGAAAATAGTTTAGAAAAGGTTACATTTAATTTTTTTTTTTTTTAAAACTATTGATACAACCATTTTTTCATTTTAAAGCTCTATTCCCTGAATATTCAATAAAATTTGAATTATTTTTTAAATTTATTTCAATCAAATGATGATTCATTATATATTTATTTATTCATTAGGACACTGCTTGCTACAGCCCATTGAGGGTTCATGGAAGATAAGGCTTATCAAATCACTTATTAATTATAATTATCAAATAAGGAATTCCATTCAGCAAAATGGAATTTCCACCCTCTCCTGGTTGCAGTTCATCCATTCAAGGACCAATGATAACAGTCACCATATAAACATGTTACAGTTCCAATTAATATCTTTTTCTGAGTGACAGTAATAAGAAATTTGTAAATTCTTATAAGGCATCGTCAAGACCAAAATAATTACAATGTTGAAAAAAAAAAGATTCAAATTGAAAAGTAAAAATTACAAATTTTATTGTAAGTTACACGTTTTTCAATTATAGTGTTCCGTATTTTAGTTTGTTGGGTATTTTCGGTTTAGGTAGTTTTAGGCATTTTTTCACAATTTACTAACGTGGCCAAAACTTCAGTTTCGTAACATTAAAAGAACAAAAACCTTCAGTTAGTCAGATACATATTTCATTTAGATATTAGTAGAGTAAAGGAGATAATTTGAGAGAGATAGTAAACATGTCAATCAAAGACAATATGTTTGAATCAAGCAATTATTTCGACACCATTATACTAAACACCAGTCAGACCTACAAAAAAACTAAATTTAATGAGTAAATAAACTATTTAATAATTATAAAATAGATAATATGTAGTGTGCGCACACAAAACATTATGTATACGCATCATACTGAAGTCAAGAAAATAGTTAAGTAATAAAGATAAAAATCACCTTTATTCTTCGGCATAACTTATTAAACAAGTTGCTTTTTCAATAATGAGATCAAAAAACTACAATTAATAGTGCATGAGAATTAGACACGAAACTTATGAAACTAATGAATTTTGCACCACAGACACAAAAAGAACGAATATGGCACACAGTTACGGTTTTATAAATCAACAAACAAAAATAATAAATTTTAGCCGTGACAAATAAACTTCACGCACTGTCTCGAATGCCGGACTTTTAATAACCCTAAATTTTGGTGATCATCGGAAATGAATGATCGCCAAGCAAATTCTATCGCCAAGAGGAAGGAGAATACATTAAGAGGCAGGCACTTTGCTATTCGCGATCGCAACGCTCGAGTACGCTCTCTAGCGGGTGCCTGAAAATATCAGGCATTAATTTATCACGTTTTCATTTAGTTCAGTTAAAATCATTGGCAGAATCAGACGCCATTTTCTTAGCAGCAAATAAAAATCAAAATTTCCCTAAGGAAAAGCCGAAGAACTTGAAAAAAATCTCCAGAATATTGGGATATCTTTCATATTGACGTATATGTTAATAAGAAAAAAAAAGATTAATTTAACTTCCACCTATGAAGCCCGTGCTCTTTATTATTTTTATATATATCACGATCATCGTTCCATTTTGTTTCTTTTTTGTAGTATACTGAATAAATAGTTAGTTTAACTTAAAGATGTCATGTTCAGTCAATACTTGCATAACTCAATAATTTCTACAGGTTATGGACTGCAGCAAGCTATTTATGCGAAGTTAAAATAATGAAATAATTGAGTTTGGCGATAGTTAAGCGGCAGTGTTAGTGCTAAGTTAATTCATATTCCGAAAGCCAGCAATTGCAGTTAGTTTAAGTAATGGATCAAGGAAAAATCCAAGTGATTGGGCAATTTGGAAATGCAGTATTAAGTTTGTTTTGAATTATCATGCAGATGCCCTGGAAGTTGTTGAAGGAAAGATGAACGAGCTATAACTGCCTGAGCCAACAGCTTCTGAAACTATCAAAAAGAATTATAAGGATGATCTCAGAGAATTTAATAAGGCAAATAACTGTGCTATGATGCTGTTAACCAACTCCATGACAGAGGACACATTACAAAAGGTAATGAGGTTTGATAGCGCAAGAGGGGTAGACTATACTTGAGGGTGCCCCCGCCAAGTTGTGCTCGCGATTGATCGCCAAGCTAGGCGATGTTGAAAACCAATCGTGATTCTGATTGGTTTAGATTTTAATCGTGATTCTGATTAGTTTAGAATTTAGCGTTGTTTTTAAATGAATTTTTAAATGTAATTTCAGAGATCCGTTAGTTCTACTTTGGATACCGGCTGGTAAGGTTATTTTTGCTTCTGGTACTAAAAATGAATACTGTCAATAAGATAAATCTTAAGTTTCTGTACGATTTTAATAACAATGAAAAAAAAACAGTGATTGACTGGTGTATGAATGAAGGTTTACTTAGTAAAAGATATAAATGTCCTGTTTGTGGGTTACCACGGCGTTACGGGCAAACAAGTATGGCGCCAAATATAAGTCGCCAATTTCGCCAAGGGGCACCCTCAAGTATATTTTTCCCCGCAAGAGAAGTTTGGCTGGAACTTCAGAAAATTTTTGAAGATTCTTCTGACAACCAGCTCTGTAACATTTGTCTTCAATTCATTAAAATAAGTTGGTCTGATGATGATATGTCAGCTCATTTATCAAAGCTCAAAAATTTATGGAATGATTTGAATAGTGGTCTTGAGAGTAAAAATGAAAACCGGCTACCAGAAATGTTGCTAATTTGCAACATTTTGGACACTCTTCCTCTCAATTATCGTACTTTTAAATCAAGTTGGCTACTTTTGTGTGATGAAAAAAGAACTCTAGATGAGCTAACAACACAGTTGTGTACTTATAAAAGAGAGATAAAGAAAGATTCAAGTTTAAGTGAATCATTAAATCAAGAAGCATTAGAAGCAAAAGTAACTAGAGCCAAGCCTATTTTTAAAAGTAAAAGTCAAATTGGAAAGTGCAACTACTGTCATCAAAATGGTCACTGGGTGAAAAATTGTCGAAAGTGGATTGCCGATGGTAGGCCAGCTAAGCCGAAGCAAAATGAAAAATTTCAAGATAGCGATAATGTTATAGCAAATAATTCATTACTAGCTCTTTACGAAGAAGTTTTTTCATTTGAAGAAAGCAGCTACGATTGGTTTATAGATAATGGTGCTTCAAAACATGTCACCAATAATAGTAAATTCTTCACCGATTTTGAAGTTTTTGAATCCCCGCATGGGATTACTGCTGAAAGTGGTAAGGTACTACCGGCTATAGTATAGGCAGAGGCACTTTAAAGATTATGACAAAAGTTAATGGTGAGAGACAATTTAAAGAACTTAAAGAAGTTTGGTTAGTCCCAGATATTAAGAAAAATCTATTTTCAGTACTAGCAGCACAGGATAGAAACAAAAACAGTAAATTCATATCAACAACAGAAGAATGTTGGTTAAAAATTGGTACCAAAACTGTACTCTATGGTACAAGAAATGTAAGAGGTGGTTTGTATAAAGTACATATGCAAGTTCTTATTCCAAACAATCCAGTGGAAGTGAACTTAGTTACCACAAGTCATTATATTCTGCAATTATATCATGAGCGCTGGGGACACCAAGACAAACGCCATGTAAAGAATGTTCTTGAAAAGCAAATGGATCTGAGAGTTGAATTAAACAATCAGCTCTGTGCAGGGCCGGATTTAAGCTTGGTGGGGCCCTAAGCTACTGAAAATGATGGGGCCCTTATAAGTTCAATTCCATTTTTATACACCTAAAGTAAACTGTCCCTATTTTTTATTGTAGAGTATTAACATTATATTAAAAAATTTGATAATATTGCTTTATTGTTAAATATATTAATTGTGATGAGACTACTATGTAGAACCTTTCATTTATTGCACATATATCTTTTGAACGAGGGGAAAAAGACACAAAAGAAACGCATTTTAAGCACAGAGTAAAAATTTGGCACGCTGGGCCACTATATACTTAACAGAGTTTTCTTTTTATTGATTCATTTTGAATATATTTTATTTGCAATTTTTAATGATTTTTTCGCTAATTTTTTTCTCAATTGTTTTTTCTTTACGTAACAAAATCTATAAGACTTAGAAACATGAAATTTTGAATGTTCGTAGAAAATATGCAAAGAGTTAGAAAGAAAACAAGAAAATACAATTTGATTATTAGTTTTATTTTTTTACTAGCCGCTTATTAAGGCGGCCAGCTGCCAGCCACGTTATTAATTTTTTATGGTATCAATTTCTATTTCTATATAATTTTTTATGGTATTAATTTCTATTTCTATATCGCTACAAAAATTATCGTCTTCGCTTAAGAAAAAAAAATAGAGCGTGGATAGAAGAAAACTTATTATAACAGTTATGAACAGCGACAAATATATCAAAGCGAAGGATTCTATTTACGTATCGAATATGTTGCCACATTTTTAATACAAAAGTTAAACTTTTCTCCACTTTGATAAATGTAAACAAAGCGAACCTTACAATTAAATTATTAATTCCTTCGTATATTATTGGCTTAAGTTGTCGAAAATTAATATTTCAATTGTAAGGTTCGCATTAGCATACATTTATAAGAGTGGAGAAAAGTATATGCATTTTTTAATAGTTTTTTAAATATGGCTCTTTGAAGACGAAAAAGCATAGATTTTCTTACAAAATGACTGATAACTAAAAAAAATAATCCAAATTTTTGAGAAAGAAAAAAAATGCTTCTTCATTATGTCAAAACACAATTATGTGCCGAGTTTCGTGCCTGGGTGAGGCTTCTGGGGCTATATATTGTGATTACAGACAGACAGACAGACACACACCCAGCCGCGTTTATTATTATGTACTAGCCGCCTAAGGCGGCCAGCTGTCCGCCACGCTGAAGGTTTTCACAAATAAAGTTTTTTAAAACATAACAGGAAAGCGATTATCATATCAAAGCGAAGCGTTCTATTTACGTATCGAATATGTTGCCACATTTTTAATACAGAAGTTAAACTTTTCTCCACTTTAATAAATGTAAACTAATGCGAACTTTACAATTAAATTATTAATTCCTTCGTATATTATTGGTTTAAGTTGTCGAAAATTAATATTTCAATTGTAAGGTTCGCATTAGCATACATTTATAAGAGTGGAGAAAAGTATATGCATTTTTTAATAGTTTTTTGAATATGGCTCTTTGAAGACGAAAAAGCATAGATTTTCTTACAAAATGACTGATAACTAAAAAACTAATCCAAATTTTTGAAAAAGAAAAAAAATACTTCTTCATTATGTCAAAACACAATTATGTGCCGAGTTTCGTGCCTGGGCGAGGCTTCTGGGGCGATATATTGTGATTACAGACAGAGACACAGCCGCGTTTATTATTATGTATAGATAGATAACCGCCGTTGCGCAACCGACTCAATTTTGGGTTTGCGCCCTATCAACCATGCTATCCCGGCCAAATTTATTAGTTTCTTTTATAACAGTCATTGCACAAACGACCCAATTTCGAGTTTACGACTACTAATATTCAACTCCTTGGCCTTGTAATTTTGAACCCAATCTAGAAGACAAGGGAACTGCTAGATTAGTATCCAGAGGTATTTATTTGTTATGAGAACTTGGAGGACTTTGTGACCCTGAGAGATTTAACATGCACCAGTCACCATTTTATACCTGGGTATTCTTCTGCCTGCTGGATTCAAACTCCCATTCTCACGAACACGAGTCCAACGCCCTATCAACCAGACTCTCCCGGTCAAATTTATTAGTTTATTTTATAACAGTCATTGCACAGCCGACCCAATTTTGAGTTTACGACTACTAATATTCAACTCCGTAGCCTTGTCATTTTGAACCCAATCCAGCAGTCCCTGGAGCAGGTGAGGGCCGTTATATTAATACTGTTTGTAAAAATAAAAAGAACATTTCATAAGCTGATATTATTTAATTGGTATTTATATTGAAAATATTTCTTCATCATTTTTGCTTTTTTTAAAATTATTTTAAGTACATTTGTTAAATTTTAGTGCAAGTAAAAAAATTGTCATAATTTATGTAAATTTTTGACTTATATTTTTAAGGATTTATTAAAGGGTCTAATAAATATCAGAGAGAATAAATGTCATACGGATTTAAAGTATCAGCTCTGCTCTTGATGGTGTATAGTGGCTAGGATGTGAAAGAGCGACTGTCCCGGGCATCCAGCCAAAACGAGCATTCAACATATCAATGGAACAGACTAAAGCTTTAGATCAATTAGCAATTAGTTTTGGATAGTTACAATTGTAGAATAATTACCTTATTATAGAATGAAATGCTTT